TATTTAATATCACTTTCATGCTTTATGGAGTAAGATATAAAAATACAAACAGAAAAACCATTATTAGCATCGTCATAAAATCACTAAAGCCAAGACAGGCCGTGGGAAAACAGAAATAGTCCTGCAGCCTAATTCGAGAATCTCTGAGGAGAATTTGAACACAGTGAATTATTCTATGTTTCTTTCATAATAATAGCTTTTTACAGCTGAACTGAAAATACCCTATCTGTGCCGTTGGTGTTTGATCTACAAGGATGGGGCGGGTTAGACGCTCATGAAACATCCGTAAGCCGTGTGACTGCGATAACCAGAATGCATGAGAAGCTGAATGCAGGTTAAGTGTAACGTTACCCAGGAAAAGGACGCGTGACAAAGTTAGCATGCGAAAGTCTAAGCATCCAGCACCGAGAACACGGTCTCCTGTACCAGGATACTGTGCTGGCAATTCGGGGGAAATTAAAATAATTAAATAAAACCATCCATGGATACATTGGCCCTCATGCATATTTTAGGGCTTTAATATTCCTCGACACCACGTTTTTAATTGCCAGGCCTTAGCTGGGGGGACTCAGATTACACACTGCCAATTATCTGCTTGAAACACAAGGAAGGGGCGACTTGTGTTCAGTCACTAAAGCATGACATGAAAAGAGGGGAAAGGGAGGGACCCCATTCTCAATTAAAAGCGAGAAGCCAAATGAGAAGCAGCGGAAGGTCCACACAGCTCAGCAATTAGCAGCTTCTTCTCCTGCTTCGCCGGACCCTGGAATGGCGTCCCTCTTCTCAGATACGGCTTCCATAACGCCCGGTGGATAAACCTCCACCGCAGCATCTTGCTGCCGTGGGCGAGAGGCCGCAGGAGGTCTGAGAACACCGCAGACATGTAAAATGCCTATAAAGAGAGATCTTACAATCACTCAAGGCCAATACATCACCGTGAAATAACAGCCACGGCATAGGAATCTGCTTAAGGGCGTTAATTTGAACAAAAGAAGAATTCACAGATCTCTCTGAAATATACTGAGCATAACATCACCGGGTATTCAAATTTCTATGATTTATGATTTCTATTATTTATATGATTTAACTTTACACAAGTTATACTTTAGTGTTTATACAGATAAAACCCATATACAGATATGTAAAATATTTAAAGTCGTAAAGCCACTATTTATAGCATTGCTAAATCGAATGGTGTTCCTGTTTATATTTTGCAAATTTTCTTGCATTTGGTGTGAGGTCGAGGATTAAACAGAAGGCCGTCTATTAACCTAAAGATAGCACATAATACTTGGCCCCTTGAGATGAACAAAAACAACAACAACAAAAAACCAGAGGCTAGTGAGTACTGACCCAAACATACCCCAAACTCCAATAAAAGCTGCTAAATGAAAACAGCAGTGAATCCATCCTCTTTCACAAAATTTCCTTCATTATCCCAAAGTCCACCCCGACCTTAATTCCAGCTGGCCTCATTTACCCTTGACAGTCCAATCAGTCTCACCTGAGCCAGCTGGGCTTCATGAATGAAGCATCTCTAGATAAGAAGGGCCAGTAATTTGTTGTTATGGCTACACATGCCATCGGTTCACCTCCTGCCGGTTCGGTGTACACAACACACACAACGCCAGTCTACTTGCCAACTGTCAGCACACAATGGCACTCAGTTTAAAAGGAGCCAACAAACGCTGCGATTCAACTAATGAATCGTCTAGACGCCATAATCTGTGATGCACCTAGAGTTAACATGTTGAGATTTACCCAGAATGCCTCATGTGGTCATCACGGCAAATGAACATTGTATTAAGTATTACCCTGAGGGATCGCTGCATGTATTAGGCGCATGATTTTTGTGCACATTAATAAGTGTGAGTGCTGTTTTTGGAACCCCGGGAACATACCGCGGGGAATCGCACTTAGGGAACCGGCGAAAGGTTCCCTCTCGTTACATCATAGGCCAGGAAATAGCATTGGAGGTGGGGCACTGAGCTGACTGAGCCAATGGGGTTTCAGTCCATTTGTGCTCATGCGGGAAACCTGTTTGATCAGCTAGGTTAGATGGTGGAGCATCTACAATTGACATTTATTAGAATAAGGTAAAATGCTTATTAAATAATCGGCGGTAAGACCCGTTTAATACTAAAAACAAATTTGTATGGGGTTACAAGTTTCATCAAAGTCAACTTAAACACATTTGCAAGTTTCATATTTTTGTACTATGCAACATTTGTTAAATTCACTTTAAGTAATTGCATTAATTTACAGACTAATTAATAAAGTTATTTTTGCACAAATTATTTTTGAGCAATTTGTGGTGCATGAGGATAACGAATTAGGAAAGTAAAAGATTTTCTTAATGTAATAAAACAAACTTATCTGTAATCATCCGTAACATGAATTATTAGTTTTAATACTTGGGAAGTTTGCTGTACTTGCATAAAAGCAAACAAACATAAATTGTGAAAATGATTATGTTAATGAATGAAAAAGGGATCGTCCAGGCGGCGTGAAGCCCACAAGAACTTCATGACCACTAAAGGTTTTAGTGACCTAGTTAATGGTACACAACACAATTCAAAAACTGCACAATAGTTTAAGAGAAGTCTGGAGTCCGGGACGAATCTGCATTGTGACTAGAACCACGGTAAACCATCTAGCCGGTGACAGAGCCGAAACAGGACTGGCTCCACCTGAACATGGGTACCCTGTGCCATCAGGAGCCCCCCCATCAACATGTTCATATATGACGTGCAGCAGTTTCAGATAAACCCGTTCATGTATATTCTCCAACTTTACTTGACTATGCCATTACACAAATTCAAACATGCTGAACATTATTCACAGTTTATTGAACAATCGTGATTTGCATCAGCTAGCAAAGCATTAACGTTCAAATAAAGTTCACGCAGTCGTTCAAAAATCCCAGCGTGTGACTAGATTGTCCTGCTGTGGTTTCTTTGCTCCGCCCAGGAAATCACAGTCTCAGATCCGAATTATTTATGTATGTATGTATGTATGTATGTATGTATGTATTTAAGTAAAAAATCACTTCTAAATGTCTGCCTATGACACCAGCTGGGTCCCCTTCAATCCAGCTCCCAGGTATGGCGATGGCCCCCGTTCCCCAGCGTTCTGACAGTAAAAGCCCTGTTATATCAAAAGAAAATGATGTACCCACAATTCCCCATTTTATATGCCATGCAGACCCTGTCAGCCAGTGACATCGGAATTCACGCCCGTCAAAAGATCCTGATAAAACCATCACAGTTCCTGTATTCAGCATATTTCCAAAATGTCATTTTTTTCAGTTAAGACATAAAAGCAGTGGACATAATGATATGATGAAAAGAGGCATACCTATGATTAAAAAAAAAAACATCGTTTTAATTATATTCAACTACATAATTTGTTTTACTTCAAAATATATTACATATTAATTCATAATAAACGAACCAAAAATTTCTAATTAAAGTAAATTGAGTTTCTCCGTAATCAGTATTCACTTATAGTCTATTGCAGCGTCTCGCGAATTCCTTTTATACTAATGAACTTATGTGTGTTCAAAATACGTTGTTAAACAGACCTGTGCTGATCTTCTTAGTACAGAACTGAGCTATGCTGTGCTGCTTTGTACCTCCTGTTATTGGCGGTTATTACGGCAAGTACGTACGGGGCCTTATACACACACATACATGCACATGTGTGTAACCTTGCACCCGATCCTATTCTCCATCTTAAGCAAATACGTCCCCAATGCTCACCATCTTTTAAAGCCGCTGCACACTTTAATACTTGCAAGACGGCAAAGACTAAAAGATGCCTGTGAAAAAAAATCCGACTTGGACTTTTTGGGGGGGAGGAAAAATTCACGCACATTGAGGTGTTAAAGATCCTGTTTCACTCCAGCATTTTAGCTCATAAACATCCGCATCCCGGTTTGTCACTATTTGTGCGAGTTATTAAAAGGGGAATACAGCCCAAAGCTCTGCAGCAACGAGGTGAATGACTACCAACTTTAAACGGGTGGAAAGATGCATCAATTTACCAGTAATTCAGCAGCGTAGTATACTGGGAGGAACACATGGGCTGTGAACATCGGACACGCTGGACAATACAGGCTGGAAAACTTAACACTTTTGTAAACAAGCAAGTCAGTTTTCTTTTTCTATATACGTTCTTTATACGGCAGCAGCTAGTTAGGAAACTTGTATGGTCCTTCAGCCCGTAAATATGAGTATTAGAAGGCAGCAGCGCAGGGACGGCAGGCACCCCGATGGGTAAGGAGCAGCTATTCCTCAGCTGGTTATTACTGAATTAACGCCTTTGCCCACATCCTGGGGCGGCCAGTGGGCACATTAAACGGGGGGACACGGCGAATATTACCGCACACTGGGGCACGGTGCGTATATATTGTGTATATTTATAGCCGTCAGCCGACTCTTCTAGAACAGCATCACTGTTTGCTTATTGTTGTTATTATTTCCCACAACATACAACCCTTAAAAGAACAAGAAACTCAAATATTTTAGGAATCAGCATCCGACTGTATGCCGTGAGCAAACAGCTGTTACACTGTAACACTTTACGCCGAGCGATCATTAACTACGTTTCATTTGTTTAATTCTTTGCTGATATTAAGTGCCTGAAACACTGCTCCAGTGATTCCCATTTTTTTCAATTCCCATCCACCTTTATTAATTACTTATGCCCAGTGCAATTAAAACAAGTGTTTTGCTTTTATTGCTTAAAACCCCGAAGCGTCTACAGACTAATACTTCGCATTTAATTTTATACAGAGGAGGTCGTCAATTAAACGACTGCACACCAATTTTGGCTTCCAATTAAACGCGTCGGCCGGCTGGGCGGCATTTACCGCAAACGCACGAAACACTTCTGCGCGTTTCCCGTCGCCCACATCAGCCCGTAAGCCGTCGCCGCAGATCGGCGCCTGGTGTAAAGCGGCAAAGTGCGGAGCGCAGCCCCCGCTGCGGGGCTCTTACCGGAGCAGTTCCACCCTGTGGGGGTCTGGCAGTCGCTCAAGGAGGAAGGAAAGGCGTCAAGTTGCCGCACATGCAAAGTCGCAAGAAACCAAACGGCGAGCAAAAGCCAGCCTGTCGATGTGCTGCTCCACGGTCGCGGACGTCCAGCCTCCGGTAGCCCCGCTGCTGTTGCCCAGGGACCCATTTCAGTTCCGCGGCGGCCCCCGACCACACAAGCGACGCGGGCAGAAACTGCAGACGGGCACCAGCGACTCCGGTCTTTGCGCAAACGGTGGCGGCGGCGAGCTCAGCGGCGAGAAAAAAAACATTTTCCGAGCAAGACAGGGTGCCCCATGAAGGACTGTAGTCTGTCGACGTGCCCACCGCTGGTGGGGGCGAAACTGGGGTGTGAAGGGGCGCGGGGATTTGCGAAGGGCTGCCGGTGTCAGTGCAATCGCGCCGGTGGAAACTCAAGTGGGGCGGTCCGCTTTAAGGGAACGGAGCTGACAGGTAGGGTGCTGGGCGACGGAGGAACATAATAATGCAACAACTCGGAAGGTGGTAAAATATATGAAAAACGTCAATACATTCCACAGGGAAGGCGAGCGCAGTTGTAAGATCCAGAAGACAGAAGCTCAGCCGGTAGTTTGAAGCTCCGCGACTGCGTGCGCTGAAGCGCAGCGCTCCGTACCATCTCCGCAAGGTCCAGCAGCTTCTGCCCCCGCTGGATGCGAGCAGCAGGTTTCCAGCCTGGCCGCGATCACGTGGTGCCCGCGCCCGGCATGGGAGGGGGGCGAGGCGGCGCAGTAGGTGCGGAGCGCCGATTGGCGAGAGGTAAACGTATCGGGGACTTTCGAGCTGGCGGCGAGGGTCCAGCTGTTCGACCACTGTGCCTCAGCGCTCTCTGGGAGAATATGGGGTGTCGGGGGGATGTAGCCTAGCGGGACTAGGTGGGGAGGAGATGGAACAGAACAGGATGGAGGGAGGGGGACATCAGGCGCCCTAGAACTGAAACAGGATATTGTAGTTAAAGCCTGCAGAAGTAAGATTGATCTGCCTCAGTCTCGCATATTTCTACAGCTCTGAAATAAAGGTGAATCCTCCCCCAGGCTTCATGACCCGCAGCTGCAGGCTTGCGGCTCTTGTACCGTCCGTAATAAGGGACCTCGAGCTTTTGCATAAGCTGATACGCTGACAGCAGTGGCGGTTTATTCAGTAAGAAAAGGGGTCTTTTACACCAGTGTTAGGGCTGGCCGAACGTGTTAGGGCGCGTACTGTTTGGATTGATTCAGCAGCCGCCTGACCCGGTTTCACAATTCAATCAATCATCCGGCAGCTCCTGAGAGGCGCATCTCTCCGTTTCCCTGCGCCGCTTGGCCCAGGGAGCCTTTTCGGATCACAAAAGCGCTACTATCTATTCGGATTTCGCTTCTTATTCACTTACTGCAAGCCTCATATCCGGAGCTACGTACAGTGCACGATGATGAAGAGCAAAAGCCTCCCTTAATCACATTAAGTGGCGGTATGTCGGAGGTGGGCTTCAAATTAAGTTAAAATCCACAAATTAAGTCGTTCTTTTCCCTTACCACAGATTTTGCATATTAGTCCCGCAGCAAGTTACTGGCCAAAGAATTTCACCTCAGTTTCGAGCAAACGATTTCAATGATATAGATGATCATTAATTCTATGCAGCGTACTACTGAATTGTTATACAGCAAATAGTGCGCATTGCCGTGGAGTACTTTGCAAAATGTTTACCGCGTGACCGTCTGTATTACCCACATTCACTTTGAACACCAAGCGGCGCTGTTGTCAGCCGACCAGGCTTCAGTCGCAGGTCCGCATTTGGAAAGGAGGCTGTTTCAATCAGTGGCATATTAGCGATTAATAACACGTAAAAATATTCGAAACTTAAATTTGAAACATTTTCTTGCCATGTAGGTCATTCACTGCGTATCCTTCAAGTAAAGTCTGGTAAGTCTTTAATATCATTTAATGAGTGCACTTCGCTCGTTAAATCTGAAGTTATAAGTAAAATATGAAGTTTATGTGTGGATATGAATTTAAGCACAGGAGGAGAAGAATTTTTCCTGAAATTATGTTTGTGCGTTTAGAAACTTGACTAGGTACTCAAATTTATACGTACACATGTGTGTGTGCGTGTGTATGTTTTTATACACACACACACACACACACACACACACACACACACACACACACACACACACACACACACACACACATATGTGTACGTATAAATTTAAGTACCTAGTCATAATCGTCCACCACTGGTACCCATTTGTAAATGATGAAAAACAAAAATTATTCCTGCTAATCCAGTAATTTAGCATTACATTTCCATAAAAGCATTTCACCTTATCAAATTCAGTTGAATTCATTTTCCAGATTTGGCATCAGACATGCATTCAAAAGCAAGCCAAACTGTTTTGTTAGAGGGATTGTTAACTCTTTCCATGTGACTCTTTGGAAGTTGAATGTTCAAGGGGCATCACATTTTCATTTCAAACTCATTTCTAGGGGCACAGCAGTCCCTGTTTGCTTTAATCGACTGTTCATAGCCCTCTTGAAAGAATGAACTAATTCTCCAGTTGTCCTTCTGATGTTAAATTAATCTGTCAAGGCCTCGTGTGCATGAGGAATGCTGTCCGATACCTGCTTGCTGAGGTTGGAATGTGCTTTGTGTTTGTGTCTGGTGATTCCCTGTGAGAGATGAACACCTTCAGTCACTGCAGTAGCTGTGTCCAAGCATTTCTGGCACAAACATCCACTGTCCATCCTCCCTCTGCTACCTCTGTCAATCCAGACTCAGGTTTACAAGGATGCCTATCGGTACATGACTTCAGATGAATTATGTGCCCCCTCAGGTGAAAGTCAGTCAGTCCATGGCTGTGATATAGTTACATGGATTGTGCATCCTCACTAACTGCAGACTCACCCTTAGTGATTTTCTTTTGGACCTGTCATTGTCTGCATCTTTTACTCTTCATTCTCTCTCTTTCTCTCTCTCCTTGCATCTCCAACCCCATTTCTATGCAATATTCTCCTTCCTCTCTTCCTTCCACTTTTTTTCCTATCCACTCTCACAAGCCAAGATTTTGTCAGCCGAATTTAACCAATAGACCCCTCGGCCCCAGGAACACTCAAGAGGAACACCAATGATAATGACCCTCAAATTATCGAAAGCTTAATCACCACAGACTGAGCCGACAAGCCAGGAGCATCTTTGGGAGATGGAGATGCGTGGATAGTTTGAAATGATTGTGTATTCTCCGTGGATCTCTCCGTACGGTACAGAGATGCCAGATAAACGCACACTGAGGTGAGGTGTGGTGAGGGTGATGGGACATGATGAAACAATCAGCAGGCAATCGCTGGAAAGTTCTATCAAAGAGGCAGAACAGGGAAGGATCCAAGGCAGAAGACAGAAGATAGAATGAAATAGTCTGTGTGGTCATGTATATACTACATTGTGGGGACATTTGGACCTTTGACATTTGGTGACAAAAATCTGTTATTTTGACCTTGTGGGGACATTTTCTCCCATCCCCACAAGGGGAAACTCAATTATATAAAAACTCGATTTAATTTTAAAAAAATTGTGAATATGGTCAAAGATCTAAGCATGTAAATAGTCTTGTTTTTTGTTTGGTTACTTAGGGTTGTCATTGATGTGATTAGGATTTTTCCTATAGAAATGAATGAAGGGTCCCCACCAAGACTGAAATAGTTGAGCTCTCTCTATATCTCTGTGTGTGTGTGTGTGTGTGTGTCCGTGTGTGTGTGTGACAGAGAGAGAGCGAGTAAAGACAGGAAGGGCGTGTGTGTCCGTGTGTGTGTGTGCGTGTCTGTGTGTGTGTCTGCGCGCATGTGTGTCTGTGTGTGTCTGTGTTTGTCCATGTGTGTGCGTGTGTGTCCATGTGTGTGCGTGTGTGTCCATGTGTGTGCGTGTGTGTCCATGTGTGTGCGTGTGTGTC